GTGTGTGCGTGCGTGCGTGTGTGTGCGTGTCTGCGCGTGTGCGCGTGCGAGAAATACAGTGGTCTCTGCTTAAGAACTCGGTCATCAGGAGACAGAAAAAACGGGTTCAGATCTCAAGATGTTCTCAAAGGGCACAACTCAGCCCCGACCCATTGTCTTCCCTTCTTCTTATTATGTGACCAAAATGGACCCCTTTAGCAACACTAACGCTCGAGGTTTGGGTAAAAAAATTTCCTCTTCTAATTAGTGAGATCATCACAAAAAGATAATAACTTTAAATTGTTTGCAATTCGCCTTACGAAATTCGAAAAAACTAGTGACCCATCTTTAAGGGACAGATTCAAACCCATTTCGTCCTTTACAGATCAACTAAGATAAATAACTTATTACATCAGTTGTGGTGTAAGATCATGATTTATCCTACTTGTGAAATTGCCAAGTTGTAATCACGAGTTTCAGATTGTGGTGTAAGATCATGATTTTCATGATCTTACACCACAACTCATGTAATAAATTATTTATGTTTGAGGTTACAGGAAAGCTATGTTTTAAATTATCAAATTTGTAGGTGAAAAAATGTTTATGTTCTTTGAACCTACTGCTATCATGCTCAGCAAGTATACTGCTCAGCAAGAGAATTACGACTAAGTATACTGAACAGTCTTCTCTAGTTAATAGCTGTATTAGTAGCTTTCTGGGAGACAATGCGGATGGTTCTAGTTCAAATCCCAAATAGATGCTTCTTGAATATAAGTTGTTAGGTGAGTTTCTCAGATGCTACAGTTCAGGCACAGATGTAGTCCTATGGGAGATTTACATACATCTATGTGCCCGATGATGATGGTGATGATGATGATGGTGATGATGATGATGATGATTTTAACGTGTTCCTGACGAAAACCACAGGGCTAGACGCTGATCTCAGAACTTATTTTATAGTGTGATAAATTCTGAAATGCTCTTGTTTCCACCTATTTTTTGCCTTTTTATCCCGATGCTTACAACAACAACGATGATGATGATTATGATGATGATGGTAATGATGAAGCCAACTCCAAATTTCTTTAAACAAGGATTTAAAGAAACGAATTATTAAAAAATAATCTGGTGACACTAAAAAGAAAATGCTAAATCTAAACCATAATAGAGTAGTAAAGTACACTATGGTAATACAAATTATTATTGTTATTTTGTGCCGTTTCCCCAATCATAGAACACGGAGTCCATGTTTCAGTATACGAATGATCATACATAACAAGATGGTCCTCTCCTCTCTTTGAGCCAATTAAAAAAATGTCCTCATAATTTCATTACAAGTCTCAAATAATTTTGCAGCAAATAGAGTGTTATAGCCGTTCTGTAGCGATACGTGCAATTAATAATAAAATATACTGTAAAGCGCGTAACACTTGCTGTCAAGCAGGGGTATGCTCTCTATTGAAGTTAATAATAATA